GTAAGAAAGGGATTGGGTGGGGGCAACAGACAGGGGTGGGAGGGAGTAGGGGTAAGGCTTCAGATGGGTCTGAGTCCTGATTACCAGCAAACAGGTCTGTGTCCTGATTACCAGCAAACAGCATATGAAAAATGGTTGTCTTCTTGGAGATTCAGCGTCCCTCCGTGGAGCCCCTGGGCGATGCTCCAGGATGCGGGCTCCACAGTTGCTACACTTGTGCTTTCTCCGTACTGCCAGCTTTCAGGGCCCCTTCCTGAGCATGCCGAAGGCCCCGTGCTAACCGTTTGGGCAGCTTTTACAGAGTTATAACTTCTTGACCAAAAAGCCGATGACCAAGCACAGCGTAGCACCCAACTTACCTCTGCGTCTTTACCAAAATGAGCTACATAATAAACCCGAGAGTCCAAGTTCCCCAGAGCAGCTGCACCTAGAATAAAACTTCCTCAGGTTGGGGGTGTGTTTAGTAACAGAATGCCCTGAGCACTGTGCCAAGTATCACTGTATGTGTCCTGCTGACAGCTCGACCTTGGCTGACTGGAACATCGTGACTGAGGAAAAGTGAAATGCAGGTTGTGAGCTGGTATTACCTTGGGCTATCTTAGGCCAATTAACTTTTGGATCTGACCTAACATGCTCACGACAAACAGGCGAACCCCTCAGAATGCATCACTGAGCTTAGGACTCTGCCCTTCCCAACCCTAAGGCTAGGAATGTTAGAAGACTATGTCTGCTGCCTCTAAAAGAGGTTCTTCCCCCACCCCCTGCTCCGCTGTGGCTCATCTACCTAGCGGCCCCGCCAACATAATTAGCCAGTCTACTGATTCATGACTCTTTATTTGGACTGTGGAATATGGCACTCAGAGTAGCTTGAATTACGTGTCCCTGGGACATGGTCATTGATATTTGGCTCAATAAAAAAATAAACTAGTTTTTATTTCCTAAAAAGAAGGACAGTTCTTTTAAATTGGCAAAAAAACAAACATAATATTAAACAACTGAATTAAGTAATACTCCTTTAGTTGCCATGTATAACTGAGAGCAAAATTTAAGCAACACTCAGACACAGTTCTTTTTATTCTGTCCACCAGCCGGTAGCCAATTTTACCTGGGTCTTCCCACGTAGTTTATAGAGAAAGATAAACTCTGTAAGGCCAGCCAGTCTGCAACCTCGAGTCTGGTCACCTGGGTCATGGCTACCGAGTAAGAGTTGAGGAACTAGGGCATAGTCTGGGGACCTAGAACATGGGCCTGGCATGACAGTAGACCCCCACCCCCGGAGGCATCTGGAAGCACGTGGGCACACAGATCGTGCATCTGGAGCCCAGGCTTTAGAGAGTCATCCAAAGCATGGCGAGAAAGCAACCCTCTCCAGGAAGGTCCAAAGCAGAAACGCCTCCCTCTTTCATTTTGCCCTGATGGCCCTGGGGACACGCTTCTAACCCAGCCTTTGTCTTCTCAAACTACACTGCACAATAGAATCCAGTGTTAGCGGGGTGGTGGCAGCGCACGCCTTTAATCCCAGCACGAGACAGAGGCAGGAGGATCTCTGTGAGTTCGAGGCCAGCCTGGTCTACAAGAGCTAGTTCCAGAGCAGGCAACAAAATGACACAGAGAAACCTTGTCTCAAAAATAAGAATATTATCCAGTGTCTACCTACACCAATGCCTCACTCAGCTGATTAAATAAACTCTCAAATGCTTCTAAGCACCAGCCTACACTGTTGCTACAGATCACTAGAAGAATAACCAAGGCAGAGTTCTTTGCTCTTCCATGGGAACAAAAAGACGGGCAATGAGAGTGATAGTGACTATGGAAGCGAAGGTGGCCATGGCGGTGCCAACCTGTCACTCCAGCTCTTAGGAGAACTGGAAGTAAGGCTAGACCAGCATGAGCTACAGAAGGAAACCATGCCTTGAAGGGGTGGGGGGAAAGAGGGAGGAGAGGAGAGCAAAGTGGGGAGGAGGAAGCAGCCAAGGTCCCTTCATCAAAGCCCCCACTAGGCCAGTCCCAGGCCTCATGTGGCTCTGCTTCGTAACGCACACCCTACTCCTCCATTCTGTGGATTCACCTGACTATGCCATCCAAGGCAGCCGAGACTCATTCATGCCATAACCATACTGTCCTGTTTACACACTGAGCCCACCATACTACCTCCATCTCGGCCGGGCCGCTGTCCCAGGCGCTAAGGCAAGTGTGCACCTAGCACCTGGTGCCCTGTGACAGGGGATCAGACTGTGTATGTGTCCTGGTTTCCTTCCTGTCTGGCCAAATACCCCGTACACCGTGACTCTCCAGTTGACAGTGTTGATGCTGAGGAAGTGGGCTATATGGGTAGAAGGGAGGGGTCACCGAGATGGGTACCTAAGGTGGCCAAGGTTCCCAAATAACCTAGGTCTGCAGGCAGCAACAAGCAAGTCTGCCAGCAGGGGACCATGGGGGGGGGGGCTGTGCGTATCTGACTGTCCTGTTTCTCACAAGAGGAGAAACACGACTCTAGGATCTTAAGTTAAAACCTTCCACTCCATGAGACAGCACAGACCAAAGCTGACACCGGAGTGTCACAGCACCCATGAGCACCCTCTCCACCCAGAGATGTTCCTCAGAAGAAAGAGCCCTCCTCTAACTGCAAATTATTTCAAAATGGCAATGTGCTTCAGAATTGAAATGAAAAGCTTCTCCCACAATTACAGCCATTTTGTAACTAAACTCCAGTTTCCCAGCTCCCTCTAGACCTACTTATTTTAAAACAGAGAAATCCTACTATTTCCCAACATGTCCCTCGTTGGGTAACCTGGGTTTGGACTGTGCACTGCTTACCATTCTGGGGTTTCTCCAGACCGTGGGGTGGGGGACAAATTAGATTATACTGTAGGCCACTGTCTTTGAAGGACATGTCGAAAGCTGGAGTTTAAGACAGGCTAAACCTTACCGTTTGTTAGCCGGGACCTGTTGGCCGCTAAGAGCAATAGAGGTAACCAGAGAAGCTGACCCCAAGGGAAGAGCTGAAGAGATGACCCAGGGGCTGAAACGCTTGCTGTGGAAGTATGGGGACCTGAGCATGTGTCCCTAGTATAAGATGGGTACAGACACATCGTAATCCCAGGACCTGGAGGTCAGGGAGACGGCTGTATCTCTGGAGCTAACTGGATGGTCACTCTAGGCAAAACGATAAGTCCCAGGGTCAGTGGGAGGCCCTGTCTCAAAAAATGATGTGGAGATAGGAAGGAGAAAAATACCTGATATCTACCCTGGCTTTGCGCGCGCACATACACACACACACACACACACACACACACAGAGAGAGAGAGAGAGAGAGAGAGAGAGAGAGAGAGAGAAAGAGAAAGAGGTTGTGTGCTACCAGCTGAGTGGGTATATCAGGGAACCTCAAAGTGCCTTCCGACACTAAGACAGGATCCTTGGGCTTTTTAAAAGGATGTGCTGTGGGCTATCAGTTTAGGACAGGACGTTTTCTAATGTCTAGTCTTTTCTCTGAATGGAAAACATGAAGACATTTCCCCCATCCAGGCTTAGATGGAGTAAACCTCACCTGAACTTGACCCAGCTCTGTGATGAATAAGCAACATCCTTTAATCCCACAAATCACATGACCCAGGGCAACAGTAGGGGCCAGGAGTCTACGCCTGCTGTGAAGTTTGCAAGCTCACACTGATTTCCCAGGGAGGAAGCCAAAGGATTCTGTGAGAAGCAACTACTTTGTACTTTAAATAGTTCACAGACTTATGAATCACAGTTGCCACAGGTCAGCCAGAGTGGCCCAGGGGCTGCCCAAACCCAAGGTACCCAAAGGGTGTGTGGATTCTACAGACCTTGAAAGAATTTCAATCCAAGTCATGTCAGCAGCTCTTTTGCCCCCAATACTTTTCTTTGGATTGGGAGTCAGTTCTTACCAGATGTGAGACACGGTGCCATTGACCCCATGCCAGTATTCAGCAAAAATCTTCCTTGCTCCACAACCTTCATCTTCGGTTTAAATTTGACCATGCCTTTCCCGAGAGCTCGTGAGTTAAAGGTCAGGAATTCAGCAGTTCGGGATGTTGAAAACGTCTCTGCCATTCATCACTTCCCACAGATAGTTCTCCCTCTTGGCCTTCCGGCTTTATCTCAATGTGGGAGGAACTTGAAACTGCCATCAGAGGCACGGACATAAAACTGACAAGCGAGGGCCCAAAGCTCACTTGAGAGACTTGACTCTCACACACATTGTGACAGGATGGATGTGTCTCTCTCAGTAAGACTTTGGGGAGCCTAGAGTTCAAAACAAGGTCGCTCAACAAGGTCTCCTTACCCATAGCTATTTTGCCGTCTTTCCCCCCAAAGCTAAGTAACTTGATAACTTAGGAAATCCTGTCAGATGTTCACCGCCACCACACAGATAGATCGCTCTGAGGTTCAGGAAGGCCAGTGATACATTCTGGGCTAATGGTGTCCATGTTGATACAAATATAACGGCTATCTTGGAAGACAAATTTAGTGAAATCTTATAGAATTTAAGCATGGACCTCCATATGGCCCACTCATGAGTATTTTACCCCTCACAAAAAATAAATCAATAAAAATAAAAACAGAAGCCCCCACAAAGGCCCACTCATAAATACGTTCAAATAAATGGTTCATAGCTGTCCCAAACTGCAAACTGTTCAAACATCCAACTTGTGAACGGAAAGTCTGGTTGTGACAGATTCCTACAATGGAGTCCCCTGTGGCCATCAACAGGGATCCACTACTAACTCAGGAGGACATGAACAACTCTCAGAAGTCGAACAGTAAGTAAAAGAAGCCAGGCACAAAAGACGACAGGCTGCTTGGTGTCGTTGAAATTCTACAAAAGGCGAAACAATAGTGACAGAAAACAGGCCCCTGATTGCCGGGGCCAAGAAGGGTGGACTGCAAAACCAGTCAGGGAACTTGTGTGGGGTGGTAGGATTCTGTGTGTCTAAGTTGTCACTGGTACTTGTATGACAAGATATGTGTACAATTACCAGAATTCACAGTGTATACAGAGAGTGATCTTCAGAAGTCCACCAGCAATGTACACGAACTGTCCCACAGCAAAGGAGCTGACAGGCTGTGGGCATCTGCCTCAGGGCATAATACACAGCAGGCAAAGGAGTCCTCAGAGACAGGAGGAAGCCTCCATATCTGCACCTTTAACATCTTCAGATTCGACTCTCTGAAAAATAGTAAAGAAGAAAAATCAATAAAAGTAACAATATCACAATAAAATAATAATACCACTAATTTTCATTTAGCACCGTGACAACATCTTACAGGGCACGAAACATCATATTAGGTATTGCAAGCCCAGGGGTGATTTAAGGTCACAGGAAGACAAGCTCAAGCTATAGGCAAACACTGTTCCATTCTATGTAAGGACCCTGGACCCACGTCCCCCTGGACAGAGGGATGATGGTAGAGCATAAATGTTGAACCGTGGCAACATGGCATTCCTGTAAGATACGCCAAGAGTCTCTCTTTCTTCCTCTCTAGAAAACAAGCCATGACGCTGTTTCTCACGTAGAGGACAAACCCTGAGAGCCGCCTTGTTATTTTTCCAGATGTCGCGAACGCGCAGAGCCTGGGAAAAGTTTTGAGCGAGAGTGGAGAGCACCACAACTGGCCTGTGTAGGTCAGCAAGCTGACCACAGGCTCTTCCCGCCACCCCGCTCACTACAAAGGTGTTAGCAAACAGGGGAACCAAGGCTACCACATTGCATGCCAACGGTTGGTACCAATTTCTGTGAACGAACAGAGAAACCAGCACAGCCTCTCTTGAAGCCAACCCTGAAGAGTGCCAACAATACCACAGTGGCCCCCAAATTAAAGGTTGCAGCCTCTAGTCATGAGAGGGCTCCCTGGAACCTCTCCAGGATCCTTGGGCCCTGCTGAACGCTGCCCCACACGCCCTCTGAAGCCACAGTGGGTGTTAGGCTTCTGCAATCCAACGCTGATGAATTTCTCTGAAAACAGAGTAGGGCAGCTGATGTTCAGACATGGTAAAGAATATGCAACCTTTGAGTTTCCCAGGGATCCTTGTCCAGGGCCTGGTACAGCTCCATTCTTCCTTCTTCCAAGGGACATGCTTTTCACCCCTCTTTGTGTCGCTGGTCTCCTCCGTGTGCTGCTACTGCTTACCTCACAGGACATGAGCTGTAGAAGGCAAAAGGCTTGACCTGGATAATAAACCATGCAGGCTATCTAATGGCGGAGCCCAGACTGCATTTAGCCCTCACGATCTCTGTACTGTAGCTTTGAGGGAAGGTTTTCTGTTTCTCAGACTGCCTTGAATTCCACACGTGCAGATGCTACTGGGTGGTGTTTTAAATCACCCAGAGGCCAGCAGGCCAGGATTAAGGAAGTCATGGTTAAAACAAACCATGTACTCTGTTGTTCATGTTGATACTGTTGTTTGAAATGGGATCTTGGCATACAGCCCAGATCAGCCCCAAAGTCAAGACTCTTATGCCTCGGTTTCTCAGGTGCTGGAATTATAGCAAGATACCACCATGTCTGACCCAGAAAGTGCCAATGAGAGGTGTTATGAGCCCATTAAAATGCTGGCATGTGGATGCAGGGGTGGAGGGTCCTAAGTCTAAGATCTGAGAATCAATAGTCTTGAGGTGCAGACTCAGAAGATAGATGTCCCAGCTCAGGAACTCAGGAAGAGGTGATGTACCATTCTTCCATCTGTTTCATTTGGTGATTACTGGGTGATTCCTGTCCATGTTGGTGAAGGTAGGTCCTCTTCATTCAGTTACAGGCTCAAATGCTCATCTCATCCAGAGGCCCTCACAGCTACATCCAGACACAGTGTTTGCCAGCAATCTGGTCACCCCTAGCTCAGTCGAGGTGGCATATAACATTAATCATCACGGGGCTGGCGATGCTCAGCAGTTGAGGCTGCTTACTACTCTTGCAGAGGAGTTCAACTCCAAGGACTAATGACAAGTTGCCCTCAGTCACCTGTAACTCCAGCTCTAGGGAATCCAACAGCCTCGTGTGACCTCCACAGGCATGTGCACACACATGTACACAAACACACACATTTTCACACATACATATGTAAACATAAATAAACAATAAATAAACAATACACATAAATAAGCAGACACATAAATAAACAATAAAATATAAACTTTAAAAAACAGGATTACATAAAATACATAATATATAACACAAAATACATAAAATACCCCCTCATATTTGACAGATACTCTATGACTCTGTTTATTTGGGACACCTGGAGTAATCAAGTCCCTAGAGAAAGAGAGCAGGACAGCGTTGTTACTGGCTGGAGGAACTTCTGGTGTTTACCAGGTCGTGCAATGGGTATAAGGCTCCAGTTCTGTGAGGCACAAACAGTTCTGGATCCTGAACCCGAAGGCATTGAACACTACTGAACTATACACCCTTCAAGTGGTGAAGTTGTCTTGGCTTGGTGGTACGTGCTTGTCATCCCAGAGCAGGGAGATAATGAATTCTAGTCCACGTGAGCCACACTGCAGGACCCTGTCTATAAATAAATAAATAAAGTTGAAATGATGGCTTTCATAGTATATGCATTTTACTGCCATTAAAACTTTTGTGCAAAGTTTCTGGATGTATTGAAACCTTCGTCGCCCCATCATTGGGTAGGTTCCACTTTTTTGTTTGGCTGAGATGTGTCTCTTCTTCAGCTTCAGATCCATCTGGTGCCAAGTTTATTAGTGGCAGAATGAAGTTCAAATAAGCCCTCCTTCAGAGAAAGGACTAACTACAACAAGTTGCCAAGACAAAAGAAAAGCTAAGAACACATGCATGGGTGGATACTGCAGGCAGGCTCATCCCTCTGCTGGTGATCTTCACACCAGAGGAGAAGGGAGAAGGAAGAAGGGAGCAGACAGGCAGCCTTCAACCACATTACAATTCACAACATGTATTATCACTGGCTCTCTGAATTCTAAATGTCTCTTTTAATGAGTCACGAAGGTTGACTGGCTGTTAGATTTTTTTAAAAACTCGCAGGGTTTTCCTTATATAGATTGTCCTCAGGAGACCTCTGGCTGAATGTTCTTTCCTTCCTCCTCCCCAGTTAGCAGCTGCTTCTTAGCATGTGTGTTTACAGAAATACCAGTAGTTATTGCATGTTCTTTGCCATGTGATTAAGCGCTGCCATAAAGCCCTGGCTAGAGAGAGTGGAACCAAACTAGTGTCCATGATGGACAGCTTGTGCCACCTATTGGTCAATGATAGTATCACATGCCAAGATGCCTCTACCTGCTAAAAGAGGTAACTAGAAAATGCAACCCTAGGAGTGTGCACACTGTGTGGGCACATACATGGGCAGATATACGTTCACATACAGAATCATATATTTTGGCATTATATCATATAGTGTACACTCAGACATGGGGATGAGTAAAGCCTGTCCCACTGTGGCTGATGACTTTCATTTACAGTATTGTCCATGTAGTAGTTGGCAAATATTATCTCCTTTGCCCCTTAGAAACAGTGTATGAAAGGTTAGAGAGATGGCTCAGTGGTTAAGAGCACTGACTGTATTCCAGAGGACCCAGGTTCAATACCCAGCGCCCACATGGCAACTCACAATTGTCTGTAATTCCAGTTCCAGGGGACCTCAGACCCATGCCAAAACAGCAATGCACACGGAAGGGAGGACGGAGGGAAGGAGGGAAGGAAGGAGTCCTACAGAAAATGGCAGCCAGTATAGCACTCCAGGTTCAGTCTGACGAGCTCACCGCTTTCTGGACCTCACACAGTGCAACAGTGGCTGTGTCCTCGCTCCCTACCTGGCTCTTGATAGCCACACACATGTGGCTAGTTCTCCAACAAAAATCAACTTTTCATCATGAAAAGCTGCTGCCACTGCGGGCACGCGTGCTCCGAGGCATCTTCGCAAGCACTTGAGAATAGTGACAGCAAATAGGAAAAATCTCCAAGTGTAACCGTGGGAGACAAGATGACGCCTGTGGAGAGAAATGGCCCGATAAAACAGACACTTAAAAACATCAGTGGTGTCTGTTGACAACCACAGTTGGAAGTCAGGGAGAGAACCAGTTGCAATGGCAACCTCCCCAAAGACAGACCCATCCCTTTGAGAAGAACATTCTACAAATGGCCTCTTCTCACACTCTCCTACTCCTTGCTAGTGGGTCACGGGTAAGGATCAACAGCCTCACTTGCCTTTCTTTACAGAAGGGGAAGAAACAAGACTCTCAGCTTTATCCCACTGCTTCCCCTCGGCGACGTTAACAGCGTGCCTCCATCCACAGTCAAGGCAGCCTCCTGCTAGCGTGAGGTAGGGGTGATGACTCCTCCTCACAGCATCAACATGATTGGAACACGAAGCCTGGGATGTGGTCCACCTGCAGAGCGCGACCCAGGTCTTCGTGGGGGAGGGTACTGTTTACTGACAAATTCCTAGAGCTCAGTGTTCACCTAGGGAAAGCACAGATTCCCCATAGCATAAATTTCAAATTAATGTCAATGTATTCAATAATTTATACCCATCAGTGCGAACTAGAGGTCATTTTCTTATTAGGTGTCTATAACTGAACCCTGAAGACTGCTGTTGCTTGCAAGAGAATAAAAAAGAAGGTTGCTGGTGAAGGTTCAAGGAAATGGGATGGAGGGTCCATTTCTAGGCATTCTCATGTTTGCAATGCTGTGTTAAAGGAAGGTGTGAGAGTCCACATCCACAAGAAATTGGAAGGCAGGGATAACAAAAGTCCTTCTGTATAATCTATCTCTCCCCTCCTCTCTCTCCCTCCCTCTTTCTCCCTCTCTCCCTCCACCCCTCCTTCTCTGTCCCAGTACGAACAGAAAACCATGAAGGTGGTTCACAAAGAAGACCAGACACGATGCTGTCTCCCAGCCCTGCAGCTCCAGTGCTTTTGCAAACATCAATGTGTGGATTTTCCTGAAACACAGCTGTCCAGTTTTCTTTCCATTGCCACGATAGAGACCAGAGCTGAAAGCAAGCTGGAGAGGAACGGGTTTATTTCAGCTTCACATCCCAAGTCACAGGCCATTGAGGGAAGCCAGGGTGGAGCACAGGGCAGCAGTCTGGAGTGGGAGCTGATGTAGAGACTATGAAGGAACGCTCGCTGCTCACTGGCTTGTTTCCCGAGGTCTGCTCAACCTGTTCTCTTATACAACCAGGACCAGCTGCCC